CATAGTTCAAACTACTACTATAGAAGTTTTGGATTCAAAAATCCATAGAAATTCGTGAGATATGCACCGCTCGTGATTCTTAACAAGGATGAAACAGTTGTAAGTGCTTCTCGGATTTTCAGTACACACTGGCTTGACTTACACGAAGAAACCTCAGTTGAAAATTCATAAATCATCTCACAATGATATCAACAAATTGTGTGTCATTGACCGCCTTCGCCGACCGGAGTCCAGCTGTTATGGCTTGTAATCTACAAATGTTTGCCGAACAACCCGTAGTCCACGCATTCTCTCCTGCTCTCCACACCTACTATATATAGTTAATTTTTGAAGAGCATGGTCCCAAACATCAGACGTAAATCTGAGCGATAGATATGGAGGGGTGTACAGGAGAATATTAGATAAAACGATGGAATTGTACCATTCTAAGCCACCAACAATTCCAATCAGACAAAATAAATCATAACGTAGGTAATAACGTTTGGTGTCAAAACACGCGTGTAAAGACTAGGAATTGAGGAGAGGACTAACAATGCTAAGTGCCGTTCGAGGCGCGGTAAGCGCTAGCACAATCAAGACTTGCACATTAGGCACAAAGTTTCCCTCATACTGGGTCAAAGTCAATGGCAAGAATGAACACTCGACGCCATGTGCCACGCATAAGTCCCCTACTTACGCAGAGAGCCAAAAATGGCAAGCAAGTACAAGTCACCGACTGTTACCTTAGGGAATCCACCAATAACAGCCTTGGTGGATTGGGGAAAGCAGATCCCTCAATAAGAAATGATCATCGGTTGGTGGACCAAAAAGTCGACATCACTATCGATTGCACGTAGTGTTGAGATTGTGGCAAGGAAATATTCACCAGCACCATACTTCTGCTTCTTCTTATTCCACACGGTCAATCCATGCCCATCCGAGGCTATGCTGACATCTCTTACAGTTGCTGGGCGATCTCGAACAGCGATTAGATCAGGTTTGATGAAGGACGTCGAAGTAGGTGCCCTCGACTCCTCGAAGACGAAGTACCCCAGCATCAGAAAGTTTCATGAGTTCTCTTGCTATTCGACTATGATAAGGACATCTGGCGTCATGTGTGAACCGGCAGGACTGCAGAATATCCACCAAACTCTCCGGTTGGCCAAAGCTTCTACGACAGAAGACCTCTGGCCACCATGACTAAGCCTAGCGTTTCTAACTCTCGACCTAAGCAGGTTAGGTTTGATGAGGACGTCGAAGTAGGTGCCCTCGACTCCTCGAAGACGAAGTACCCCAGCATCAGAAAGTTTCATGAGTTCTCTTGCTATTCGACTATGATAAGGACATCTGGCGTCATGTGTGAACCGGCAGGACTGCAGAATATCCACCAAACTCTCCGGTTGGCCAAAGCTTCTACGACAGAAGACCTCTGGCCACCATGACTAAGCCTAGCGTTTCTAACTCTCGACCTAAGCAGGTTGTATCGGAGCTAGATACCGCGGATAAATATCCTAGGAAATACTCGTTTTGAAAACACAAGCCACCGATTCGACAGGGGCGACTCAACCGACTCTCGCCAACCGCGACCGTCAACTCTGTTGTGCAAACTATCGCCCCATGCAGCCACCAAATCTTCCTTGGTGTTGATGCATGCACCGTGGAATCGGATCGGGAGACTGAGATCCTGAAAAGTGTGGACCATATTGTGTAGCATATGGTACTGAGCAAAGAGGAGCTTTTCCATACGGACCTTCCGGTGCATCGGCATGGTTGCACTCAGACTTGGAATACCACGTTTCCTATTTTTTTACCGGCGTGTATGTTGCTGATCGAGGCGCACTTCGGTAGAAGTGGCCAGCCACAAATAGATTGTCTGATCTAATTTTCCAACCTTTTGGACGTTTTTAAGTAGAATTGGCCTATCACGAACGAGTATGTCAGCGTCGGTATCAGGTAGCTCCTTGTGATCTCCATTCTTTGGTGCGGCTTCAACGGGTCACGCGTCATCTCATCAAGCGGCTGGAGCAGCTTCTGTCGGGGGTTGCGGACTCCTTTCCGCTTGAAAGTGAAGGGATAACGGAATGTGTCACGGCATCCATGGGATCCAGAGGAGTGATGGGCTTCTTGACGAAACAAAAAGGTTCCGTTAAGGCCGCTGCCACCCGATATGAAGGTGCTCCAGATGCTCCAGTATATCTCACAGTTGGGTTGTGCGAAATCGAACAAACGTTTTCGAGATATCAGCAAACTCCAAGCTTGGGTTAGAAGCAGTCACTGAAGAGTGACAAAGGAGGGTGTAAACAAAAATGTGGCTTTCAGACAACCATCTCGATGTAGAAATGCGAACTGGAGTGAGGGACGACATGGATCTCAGTCTCAGTTGGTCAGATGGAGCTAAAATCGGGGACCTTCGTAGCTAGGGTAATACCAGCACGATGTTGATGCGGCTGACAACACCCAGACAATAAGAGTGGGTTGAAATACTCAGCGAGGTCGTTGGCATTTAACCTACGAGGCATCCTGCGAGTGAGCTTGTTCCGGACTGGGGGCGAATCTCCCACTAAACAGATCGTACGGCCGACTTTCTTATCTGAAACTGGCTCGACCAAACTCAAATCGGATGGTGGATTTCCGTGGCTTGGCCGATTGTCAACGTGTTTTGGAGTAGAGAGCACCAGTTTCCAAAACCACTCGGCATTAAAGCGGTAGGGGCAGTTACCGTTACATAGATCCTTCCACGGCCCATTAAGTATAACAGAGGCTGCATCTTTCCGTCATCTATGGTATAGTGTATACAAGGCGGCGTAGTTGGCTAGGCGGATATGCTTTCGGCTGGCTGACACACGATGGGCTAGCTGATGATGGCGTCAGAGGACAGTTTTCCAGGTGCACAGAAGTGTCTTGGAGGCGTGAAGGTTCAGAAGTGACAGGTTTGCTTCGGTGTCAAGATGCCAGGCTGCGACCTTCGGGAGAATGGCAGAAGGTCAACAGTAGCAAGTGAGCTCTCAGCATGGTATTCTAAAAGTGAAACGGCGCAATCCACGGTTTGTCTAGGCGAGACACTACAATCATCAACTTCTGACGCTGTTTGATCGATGGTTTGGTCAGGGCCATCAGATGAAGGTTCGTCCAATTGTGCTTGCAGTTCAACACCCCTAACCTGGTTTTGATGCTGACAACCAATCGATCAGGAAAATATTTATCCAATCTCATGAGCCGTGCAATTTGCGTGTTTCAAACAGACACAGACTTTTTTCCAGGCTCAAGGACTGATTGTGACTCGTGTTAGGATCAGCGAAAACGTGAATTCTTCACTCGTCCAACCATATCTGCGTTATGATGGGTGGGGTGTACGTGCCAACGGTGTCGACTAGGGCCAGTCTTCGTCGGAAATAGCGGGAACAATCAGCACAGACCAATATTGGGTAAAGTTCGTGCCCACACTTTAATGTATTTGAACCTGACGGCAGGCTACCAAGTCAATTTGCGGCGTTTGCCACGTCCCTCACATACAATTCTATAATATGACAGTGACAAATCGCAATTTTGCATTATCGCGATATATCGTCTGTGGTACAGATGCTCTACCGAGGACCACGTGTAGTGAGCCATGCTGTGACACGCGTATATTATGGGAAATCAAGTCGTGGACTGAGTGGACCGAGTGTACTGTCAAATGGATGAGACACAGACGTCTATTGCTTAGCATCAGACTGCGAGTTTCCTGAACCCGTCTCTCATTGCTTGATGAATTTCAAATTTTGGTTGATTAAGGGAGCACGGATGGTTATTTTCGCCAATCATTCACCTCGGTTTTCTCAGACAAAGGAATCTCACACGTTGATTTTCCTGGTTCCCTCATTTGAACATCACCCAATGGCAGCTCTCCTTGTCACAGTTGCCATGTACTTTAGCACTACAAAGTGAACACTAGGCTATAAGTTCGAATATTTGTTAATTGTGATTGGCCGCGCAGTGTAAGATGACTCCACATCCATTGACTTATTTCCCTAAAAGCTCGTTTCGCACCAATGCCGGGAAAATCAAGAAATACGACCATCATGATCGATATTACTTTGTGACATACTGTTAAAATAAAGGGAGGAGATGTACGTAGATGACACCAAGAAAAAGCACACAGTGACCTGGTTTGATTCGACCGACTGGTGTGCTCAAGAAACCGTAAATCGAAGATACTTTTTAGCTGGTGCGTAGCACACGAGCAACTGGATTTTGAGCACACGGTCAGGTGGGATCCACACTAAATGACGACTCGGATAGCTACACGGGCACTCGACCCATCTTACCATGCATTCTGGGTGCAACGATAGTCCCAGAATACGCAAAATTCAAAGCATCATCCGTCATTCAAAACTACCGATATGGAAGTAGATTAGTCCAGGTAGATTATTTGTGTTGATGACAGAGTGCTACGAATAGACAGCAACACAAACGCAGTTCGTAGTGAGATTTTCCGTTTTGGAAAACAGAACTGTCACTGGAAAATACAAATGAGAAAAAAATCACTAGAATTAGCATTCGTAAAGGTTGTTAACTGGAGCCGCTGTGGAACTCGTGAAATCAAGAAATTATCCAGTGAGAAGGCGACCACTGATTCATAAAGTCTGCCGGCCGTCCTAGAGCTTCTTTAACGCAACGGCTGACAGGTTTTGCAGCAGATGGAAGAATTAAAATCGGACAGGTTTGTTCATTCATTCGGTCATTAATACTGTGGAATGAGGCATAGGGCCTCGCAAAAGCGCTTGTGGTTTTCCTTCCTGCTCCATCACATTACCCTCAGTTCTTTTATATTTGAATTGCTCTAAATCATAGCTACCAAAATAGCATTGTGGGAATAGAAAACCCGTCGATTCACTTGGATCAACCACCCATTTCCCTTCGGTGATACCCCAGGTCATAATAACGAAGATATATGGTACTGTCATTCTGTTAGTAGTTAGTTTTCTTTGCAATATACTGCCGCCAATACATACGATACTCAACTGTTTCGGATAAGCAAGTCAAGATGTGAATTTATCTTTGGTCTGTGGTTCCACTACATCAATTTTTGAGAATTCAGTTTCTCGCGAACCGGAATCAGCATTCTTTAGAGTGGGAGACTGAGGTGTGCTTCTGCCAGAGCGCTGAGACCGCTTCCACTTCATGCGACGGTTTTGAAACCAGATTTTCACCTGGGAAGTAGACAAATGGGGATGCGCGATAAGCATGATGAAGTTCTGCAAACAGTTACAATAATATAGTGGCATTAACACCCACGTTTCACGTTTTGCACATACTATGGGCGGTATGTTTGCAAAGACAATTTATGTGCTCAAGAGATAAACTTTGTAGGTACCTTGCTGAAACCTACCAAAAGAATATACTACATACGAAATGGCTTTGAATGAGGACGTAGCTTTTCTGCAGAAACACCCTCACCTCACCCATGATGGACCAAAAGTTAACCAACTAAAACACACCCCTGAATAGTTACATGCATGGAACACTCGAAGTGCAAGCAGAAAAGGACCAGGTCAACAGTGAGTATCCGAGGTGGTGAATAATCGTTCTGACTATCCTGTCGAGGCAAGTAAGTAGACAAGAGATACTCTGAAGAGTAGGTCGCTTGTCTGAATAAGCAGGTAGCAAAAACAATTTTCATTGCTAGAGCTATACGAGTACATGTCGACTGAACGCTATAAACAGGTGTTAGTGGCTTCAGGCCATTGTGTTGACCAAGCAAGTTACCGCAAACTCTATAAAATGACCGAAATAAGAGATAGCAGTGTGCCTTTCGAAGTACTGATATTCACTTTCATTCGCTGTTCGCCAGCGGATTTTAAGACTTCCTGGCCTAGTGGAGGAATGGTCATTTGTTTTGGGTGGTTACAACTGTGGTCACACTGGGTACCACTTATTATTAGCCAAGTATAAGAACACTTCAAAAGAGAAGTAGACAGGGGCAGTCTACCAGTGAAGGAAATGGTTTTTGAAATTATTGTGAGTTGTACATTATGATGCGGGAGGTTGAAATAGATATACTATCAGTCTAATGTGAGCCACTCTTGGACTGTCCTCTTTTTAACTCTGATGGATTCCTTTTTACTAAATATTGTAACCCTGATTCGAGTGAATGGCTGTTGCTTTCGGACATGGGACTGCTTCTAAAAGAAAACGCTTGCTTCGGATACTAGCCTGTTTCCTAGGCAGAGGTAAACCTTCTGAGAAGCACGACAAATATGGAGTGTTTTGTAAGTGCGAAGAATATAACACGTCACAACAAACCACAAAGGATGCAAAAATAAACGGGGCGAACATGCTCGTGAGCCGTGGCTCAAACTGTCCTGTACAGTGTGCTACTGCGAAGTGACGACAAACAATCAAGACAGACCAGTCTTATTCCGGTTTCTATGTCATGGCTGTTTGACTAAATCTTCCCAAATTGATTTTCAATGAGGGCATAATCGATCCGATGTCCAAGGTTAATTTCAGTGATAACCCAGCCAAGAGTACTGGAAGTGCAGCTAATTTGTGAGCTTTTCTATAAAATCTATCGCTGGTCCTATTGACTATGTGCATGGGTAGAAACGAAACTCAACCAGCGGTCACACTTAGCGCGGAATGAGAGAAATTCCCAAACGCTCTTTTCGAAACACTGAAGAAGCCAGCTGGATATGGAATTTATCCAAATAGCATACGATCATATCTCGCGGCTTGTGCACTAAACGCAGTATGCAGTATACTAAAGCTTCAAGTGCAACAAAGCGGGATATTAGAAAAACGGAAAAACGGGTTTTCATTGCACACCTGCGTTTCAGTTAGTCCAAGTGACGTCGCCACTTCGAATCGTTTCGGTCTGGATAGATATTTGTTACACACGAATTGTTGCTCCAACTCCAAAAGCTGTTGGCTGGTGAAGGCCGTCCTTGGTCGTCTTGATTTGTTAGTGAGAAACTTCGTATTCATTGAGAACGAAGAAACTGTGAACGGAAAATTAAAATGTTAGCAGATGTATGCGTTTGGTGTGTTGGTGCTAAACACAAGTTGGTTTCCATGTACAGTCATTGTCTTTGCTGATATATTTGTGATTCGAACGTGTGGAAAAAGACTGCTGGAAAGCGTTCTCTTCAAGATGTGAAGAATGAGAGTAGTGATTTTCCTTTCTAGCCGTCGACATAAAACAGCCTCATCTTATGCTAACACGCAACAGATGTTGCTGCGTGGATACAATTAACAGGAACCAACATTTTGCTCTCAAACACTTTGCCCAACTCAACACTGATACAACACAATGTTCCGATGTGCCTGCAGTTTGCCGGATTGTGGGAGAGCGTCCTGTGTTTGACTGACGGAATAGCTCGATCGAAATGGCTCGATGGTCGGTCGCATTAGCCACCCAGTCAAGCTCATAAACATATAAAACAATTCCAGTGCAATTTCTTTTATTGCCAACACTGATTGACCCTGCAGCATCCTGACTGCATTCTGCCACTTTGTTATTAAAACTGGAATGAAAGACCATGATTGAATTGTCCGAAAACCAGTCGAGGAGAGGGAACAAAGTTAATTATGGATACCTGAGAACCCGTTTGTCCACGAAATGAATTCACATTTTGACATATTTTCTACCTCACACCGGCAGATAACACTTACATTTGACCGGTCTTCAGATACCACCTTCTTTAAAGGAATGTAACGATCTGCCATCCCATGTTACTACTCGCAAGGTCAACAAAAATCCTGGACAGCATACTATTGACTGCACCCAAAGAAATAGAGGATCCAGTTGAATTTCAGGTGAGTCTTCCGTTTGTAATTTGTAAATAGATGCTAATCACCAACTGCATATAATGTGGTGTCCTAGCATATGTAAAACTGGCGGAATTTCTCGGATTAAGCGCATTTGATAAGTTTCAAAAATGGTAGGACCAATTATGAACGACCAAGTCTGTCCAGAAACCTTATAAGTTGTGCCAAGTAAGAGAGATGGCTTCGATATAATGAATATCGTTTAATTTGCAAAATAAGGCGACTTTTGTTGAAGCGCAGTATAACCGAGAGTTTCGGTCATATTTCAACTAAATAGCCCGTTAACACAAATTTAATCCTCGAATGGGTAACTGCTGTTACTCTCCTCGTGTGCGTGGATTCATCAAAACAATGGGTGGGTTTTCGTGCCTTACCAGAGTGATCGTAATTGAGGCACCTGGCTTTAATTCATATGACCTTAACGCCAATCTGGCTGTTTACGTACACAAACTGTGCGATTGCCTAAAATTTGACAACCAATTTTTGGATGGTTCTGGTTTATAAGCTGGTCAGAAGGAATAAAAAGTTGTTATCTTCAAGAAAAAGTAGGGGATAATAAGTTGCTGAGGTGATGAGTGCACACCAGTCTGTTCAATTTTGGTAGGATTATGAATATGGCCTAGTAAGTTTCAGAACACTTGAGGTTATCGGGTCTATGATGGACCAGAAGTAGACATAGTTATTCTAAAACGATCCCGCAATCAATAAATTAGTTTTACAAAGCTACGGTACTTTTTCAAAATGAACCATGTACCTTAGAGCCCTGAATGAGTTCTGAAACTCATCCTTCCTCTGATTCTGCATATCAATTGGTGGTCCTCAGGAACGGGCAACTTCTCGAAGGGGTCTTCTAGGGACGTGCGGACTAAAAATGCAACCCCCAGTTTGTCTGTACTTCCCAGGGGAGGTCTTCGTAGCTATGCCAAAGAAGGATTGACAACAGCTAATTGATGGCGTGTTTTGTGATGTGATGATCCACTATAAATGTTGTCATGCCCAATTGGCGATCACTTTGTCGCCACAACTTTATTTTCGGTATGAGCTAACCAGTCCTTACCGCTTGTCGGATCAGAGAACCCCATTCTGGAGCGTTCAAGTTCTCATCATTCGAGGAACAATATCTCAAAGGAAGCCAATAAATATGAAGATTTTGTTTTACTCAGCATCAACTTGGTTGTGTGCGACCTTAAAAGGGCGGGGAAAAGCTACCAAATGATATATTATTATATTTTCAGGAATATATTGTGAGCCAGGAGAGATGCTGGGTCTTCAAGTTTCCAAATTTATCAAACTGGTGGAGGAGCTGCTCTTCTTGTTTCTTGGGAAGCGGGCCCTTTTAAATAAACTATCTCCGATTCGACCATCATGTTTTCATTCTGCTGTTTCCTGAGACCTTCAGTTTTATTCGTGTACCATGCCTGATATTCTTTAGCAGAGCTCTTTATCAAAACTTCTTCTTCTTTATCAAAACTCTTTTGTTTTTGCATACCGCTTATTTCGGGCATACTTTTGGTGTAGCCGAGTTAAAAAGCTACTCCGTGGTGGAGTCCTAGGTTGAACCACTCTACTTTTGTAGCACAGCCTAAACAAATGAGCTAAGCTGTGGTTCACCTCCCACTTTTTTTGGCTTATCTTGGATGAGTAAACTTCAGTTCATTTGGTTTTGCCTAGCAAGCTGGATGAGACGAAGATACCAGACCTAACTTTCAATGACTTGTACACTGATCTTTCCGTCGGCACCAGAGTACAGTACCGCTGAGCTGAAGTTTCTTCTGTTGGAAAAACTCTCCTCCTCTGGGGAGCTTCTAAGGTGACGGTTTTTAGAATGCGAAATTCTATGTTATACGATGAACGTCAGAAGACATACATTGTCGGGAATTCCAGGAGGGAGGGCATTCACCTATACCTAACATACTGATCTGTTATTATCCTGCTGTATAGTGTTTGAACCTTGCGATTCTTCGGGGGGAACACTTTCAATATTAGCAATGTTGTGGAATGTAGGTAGCTCGGGTGCGCTGTTTGGTTGTTGATCTATTCGCCGAGCTTGGCAGTTGGATTGCAAACGTTTCATCATCGATCGAGGTGACATCGTCAATGCAGTGGCGATGTCACCTCGATTGATGATGAAACGTTTGCAATCCAACTGCCAAGCTCGGCGAACAGACCAACAACTAAACTTTCAATATTCTAATAGATTGTTTTTCGTTTGACAGTAGTTTTTCACGAAATTACATTTCGAACCATTCTCCGGAACAATTCAGTATACCAAATCTATGGCGGTTCGTGGGGGCCGGTCGAAATAAAGAAACAGAGACTGCTCGCAATATCATCAGGTAAGTTAGGTAGGAGGAAGTGAACCATAAAATCATCCACAACATGTATCTTGTAAACGAAGGCCTGTTTGCTCCTTTGTTTTAACTTGCTCCTCACAAAGTCTCAATAAACCTACAGGACAATGGAGCTAACCTCGGTAGTACTTTTGTACGACACATCAGTATATTCCGATGAACTTCGAGGAAAGTTTCGTTTATTCAATGAATACAGGCTACTTAGCTTTCAACATATGCGCTGACCAATCTTCATTTTTTATTATGTGAGAAGTCAAGCTGCCATCCATTCCAACACTAACACATGTGAGGAAACATTGCAATAGTCCTTAAAAACGGGAGAATCCTCCAACGGGGTTTATCCTAATTTCAATGGCCCACATAAGGTTCCCACGGAATTTGTTTTATGACTCTGGAAAAGTTTCTGGGCGCAGGGTAGTGGTTGTCCTGTGGAGGCCTTTCGAGGAGAACTGTGTGTATACACAAGTCACTAAGCCTCTGGTGGTCTCCTTTTCATAAACTACGTTAGCTGAGTTGGATGGCCGGTCCAAAAATTCATTCATTCATTCTCATCCACTTGCTTGAATTGGCTAATACATAATGCAATTATCCAACCGTTTACGCTCCACTGTAGAGCCTTATCTATTTACACAACTGATTAAAAATACACCAGCCAACCCCCATAAATCAATGCGCAATCAACGCCTGCGCGCCTTACCTGACTGAGACACCCACATTTCTCTACCTCGTTTCCCCGGAGGCATCCGCCCAACTCTATCGCAAAGTGCTTATAAATGCAAATAAATAGTTTCCATTGAGAAAAAACATCAGCAGCTCCCCCTCTCTTCAATCGTCTTGGCCAATTCACTGGTCTCTTTTTCGGATGCGTTCCTATACAGCGCTAACGGTTTGTTTGTCATCTTGCTCTATGACTGATTTAAACTTAAATGTGTCGGCCTGCGGATAGCACTAATTAGAAATAGCAATCTGTAAAGGAATGAATGTCTGCCTCTCGCTTCGCCTTCATCCTGTTGTCCTAGCAAAGCGGTGGGCAATCGTGCTTGAGGACCAGCTCCCTCCCTGCTTTCGGCCAACGTTGGGACAGCGATGCATAAAACGGGGGTGATGGCCTACACAAAAAAGACGGGCACACAGGTTTTGGCGCTTAACTCATTTTGTTTGTTTGTTCGGTCGCAATAAGCACTCAAATTGGGTTTGAATGTGTGGAACACTTCTCACACACCCCTTGGACAAAACACATGCATGGATCGACGATTTCGGCAAACTTGGACAGAAACAGCTAATTAGCTTGAGCTGGTGTTTGCCTGATGACAGACCGTGCTGAGCAGTGGAGCGGACGAGAGGGAATGCAATCGGAGGAGCAGAATTAATTAACTACCTGTATTTCTTCCCGGTTTATTCACTTTTACCGACTAACCGACAACTGAGTGTGGTCTATAAGCATAACGTCTCACTTACCGAGAACGCAAAATCTTGATGTTTAGTGAAGAACGCGTTGCCAAACAATTATTAAAAATTTGGTTGAATGGAAAAGATCTCTGGGAAGAAAAATCGAGGAATAGCAAATAACCGTTGATCGTCAAATTATGACAAGATAAACTAGAAGAATAGGTCACCGTGAGTGAGTGTGTTTTGCGGTAAAGGTTGGATGGCCTGCGGGTTTGACAGCAGGGGTTCAGTTGTCTATGGAGGCCTTCGACCAAACTCTGGTTTTGCAACGTGACAGCACCTTTTGGAAGTAAACTGACTGAATTAGGACATTTGCAGGAATCGTCCTACATCATCTAGAATATCGGGTTCAATCAACTTGAGTTCTCACAAGAAAACTGGATTCTCGAATAAAAGAAAACTTACCCTGGTCTTAAATCTAGTCGGGCTGCCGCCATGCTGCGTTCCTCGAGGAGGTGCGGAACCGAAACGAATAGTGAATAGAAAACACTGTGGGCAAGATAATTTTTTGACACGGATTTTATCGGGAGAAAGTCCTCATGATGAACCGAATTGTCAACCACAAAACAAGCCAGGCAACATGGGTCACACCATAAAACAGCAAATATGATGCTCACAAAGTGCGATTGTGTATCGCGTGTGTTGAGTTTACTCACACTACATAAAACTGTGTATCTCACATCGGTCCTTTGTGGCTGAGTTTATCAGTATCTTGATCACTCAAGTACGATCAACCAATAAATTTGGTTGGTGGCTCCGACTGAAGAGTCTGTGTGCTCACTGCTTTGTTGTGAATACAGAAATTCTCATGCGGGTAAGCCTCATGGCTTACTTCAGTAAGGAAATCAGATCAGTTCAGTAGTGCCTCTGAAAATCGGTTGACCATTGCGTTCACACAAGTATGTGGATGTTGTCGAACGCAAAGCTCGGAAACACGGAGAATCACCCAAGAAGGGCGGAAACGGTCATGAGCCGTCGAACAGTGTGCAGTAATCTTGTGAGTAGCTTCTATTCGTACTAATTTTGGTCCGTTTCATGTTATTTTTGATTGGTGCACACCAACCCGCTTTCGGCTTGAGATAAGCCACTCTCCCGTACAACCATCCGTATCATTGGTAGTGTTTTAAAAAGACATCAGTTGGTCGTTGATCAGGTGGCTGTTGATCTGTTCGCCGAGCTTGGCAATTGGCTTGCAAACGTTTCGTCACCATACGAGGTGACATCATCAGTGCGCAGTTTGGTGGGTACTTCTTCCTGGCCTGCGTGCGTTTATGTAGCATTCAAAGGCTATCTGCTATCTTCTGATGTGATTGGTGCGGTTACATATCTCCTATATTGAGTTATTCAAGTGCCTTTTTAAATAAAGCTGTAGGAATGACTACTAGGCTGCATGTGTCCGACATGACTGTAAAGCGATCCTCATCTGAAGAAACCTCCTTTAAAGAAATTCGTAGCAACAAAGGTGTTAGGCAGGAATCCACGTGGATCCCACTGTACCGCACATCTTTGGGCGCTGCTGCGACCGAGAAGCCTGGCCCGCTCGAGGTTGGCCCAGAATTCGGGACGCTTGCCGATTCGGCATCAAGACGAGATCTGATTGGTCAACAATCTGGACCCAACAGCCAATCATGACCCAGTATTGGCCAAATGCCGGTTGCCAATGGAGCTCCAGAACGCGTCAGAAATTGCAGAAAGTTATAGCTGCTTGCGCTATATATAAGAAGCGCTGTACAACTGTTCCTGACTTCGTTTTGGGCGTTAATAGACCTTGTGCACCTTTGGTGGTTGTTTTGACGTGAGCGCTAGCTTGGGAGAACTAAGCTGAGGAAAATACCGTTACTACAAAAGGGCAATTTGCTTCTTTCTGAAACAGTCCTTTCACCTTCAAACACCCTTAGGAAGAGCAACATGCACGCGAAAGAGCCCGATGAAAGTTTGTTTGTATTTACAATTCAAACTGTCCAACCTTTGTCACTGTATTCTGTGAACATAAACAAATTAACTAACGGATAAAGTAGAAGATAATGTCGGGCCGTGTGTTGGCAAATACCCCCAGATGAGGAGGGCTTCCTCAACTGACGTATGCTGTCACACCAACTCGGTACTCATGGAGTTGCACTCACAGCCGAGATACCCCCTGATAAAACATGTTCTATCTGACTGGCTGCAGATAAAAGTTTTACATGAAGCGAATCTAGACTCAAACTTCTAAGCTCTGATATTAAGCGTCTGTCAACTAAAATTGAGTAAGGGGCGAGTCTGATGACGCCTCCTGTGTAGTTCGTTTTGATGACCTGTAAGCGCAAGATGGCAAGCACGTGTGTTACACAAGTTTTACTGAAAAAATGACTTGGCAGGATGCTCACTGTGTACTCAGGTCGTCACAGTCAGGTTAGGGTAAATCCACACAAAAATTCACATCTGACAAGTGCTTGGACAACATAAAGAGAAATCTTGGTCAACCCAACCATAGCATCCAGAGGTTGATGTATGTGATCACTTTGACCGTCTAAAATCTTATTGCAGCAGCGATCAGCGCTATTCAGTGGGTGCGAATTTTCGCATTGGAAAATCGCTTCAAGGGGTAAGACAACTTAAAGTCGATTTAGATTTCGGACTGTAAGCGAATGTAGTTTCTGCTGAAAACCGAGGAGCCTTATTGGGAATCATCAGCAGTGCGTATCTCACGGAGTCCGTGACCTCTCGATGAGTAGGTTGAACAGTTACCGTTCGGACACTATCGGCTGGTCAAAACTGACTAACTCGAATTTAAACAAAACAAATTTTCCAGATAGTTCCTGCCCACCAATAAAACTTAGTTTTCAAGTGAATCAAGAACTCAAAAATTTCGACAGTGTTGATGACGGATTTTGCTCCGTGGAATCATTTGTAATGGTTGTGAATAAAATACATTCATACGGAATACGGCAAGACTAGACTGTTTTTTTCAGTAGTTGTAGTTTGAAAACACAGAAGAGATTGGACATCTACATAGTGGAGCTCGTCATGTGGATCAAAATAATCTTCTACTGTAAATATGAAAAACAGCTCACAGATGTTTCATTCTACTTCAGACTCATAAGTACTGCAAGTTTTAGGGATGGTGAAGGGATTCATGCTTGCAACTCGCATATAGGCTTGGAATACATCTTTGGAAGAAGAGCGCTTGAACAACTTACACAAATATGTAGGTTCATCCTACAACAATGGACCTCCTCTTAGAAGCGAGCGTCCCCACCAAACCTACCTCTGGGGAGACATTTAGGGAGATCTAGATTTTGTTCCTCCAGGAGTTATTTTGCTTCTCCAGTGAGGCTATGCTTCTGACCAACAATGCTGAACAGCGTAAGTTATGGACAGAAAAACAGCGCAAATAGGTCTTCGTACTTTTTTTAAGCAAGGTTATCTAGCAGATCATATTTTTCGCACTGGAATCCAGAGGTGCACCAGCTACTGCGCGACAAACGTCGAAATGTATCTAACATTGCAATGAACAAGACCGAAATGGTATTAATTACTACCCTACCACGTTATTTTATTCATCATGAAAAGAAAGATATGTTGGTGGAAACAAGACCATACACATAAGTGACCTTCTAAGTCCGTGTGGATTTCTAATGTATCCCCTAGTTTGTCAGTCTATGGTTATGATCTACCTAAACCACTTGGGCTAAATATATTTCTTCGAGATTCTGTGAGCTTCTCTCACCAGTAAACATCCATCTGAAATTCACATTGCATGTTCTTGTGTAAATTTTAGAATGAATAGAGAATCAGTGAGTCTAGTTGGGGGAATAGAGTATCAGTCTGTCAAACGAGAAAACACATTGGTCGTTTTTAGACCTTATTTGGGGGCATAGTTATTAAAAAATCGTGGTGCTCAAGAGAAACGAACATCTTCAGAAAGATACCACCGTAAAGCAATTTAATCCGGACCCAAAAGGCTGGCACAAATCACATCATCAGTGAGCTTCTAACTAAGGATCATTTCACTACTCCAACTCGTGATGAAGTGGTGCGTAATTGCTCCAGTCGGTTGAGCACACGCCCCGTATTTCACGCATGTTATGTCGATGATGTTTATGTCGAAACAACCTCGATGCATGCGCCTAAATCTATTCTGTTGCTAACACCACCGAAGTTCAAAATCCTCAATGTTGTCGACTCGATGCACAGGTAATTGTTGATGACCTTAATTTGCGCGACAGATGGTTGTTTGGTAGGCCCATAGTGCCTGGACCATTCATTTGCATGAAATCCATCGTTTGATTGCTCACGGCACGAAATGCGTGGGCGCTCTGCCTGTTCGGCCAATCATTTGGACCGGTTCATCTGTGCAAGCAAGTAGTGAGTGAACAGTTCCGCACAACGGACAAAGTTTTAACTGTCCCCCGTACCTGTTGCTTCTGCGTGCGCTCAAACAAGCATTCAACATCTCATTAGTAAAACATTGAGCTAGGAATTCAAATGCAATCACCCTTTTATGCTCTCCAGTTCACGTGCCGTTTCAATTCACCATAGTTTGGTTTCGCGTAGTTGGATGGGGTCTTATGAATTTGAAAGGCAATACTGTCGGTGAACTACGTCCAATGGATTTTGATCAATAGCACAGTTGTTTAAAAATACTTCCTAGACCAGTTGATGCCATAGACATAGAGGCCAACGAATGGTAGGGTACTAGGAAGAGAAATATACAGTATGAGAAAGGATCACGCGGTGACCCATTTTCTGTCTATTTCCTATTCCTGCAACCACACTTGATATATCCTGGATGGCATACATTTGTCTGATTAATTGTAAAGCTGTGGATTTAGAAGTGGATTGTGCCACGGAAAAACGGGATGCGAACTAGCGAAATGCACTCACTTGCGAACTACTCATGTTCTTACATCGTGATAGCTTCTACAAAGTGAATGTAACCGATTTTTTGGACCTGTTTATAAGACAAAATAACGTTCATGTGTAGCTTAGCATCCAGAGGGACTAAAAATTGCAAGTGTGTTCACCGTATTACAGAAGGCAGCCCGCTGTGAGGCATCGCTCAATTAAAAGGAGAAACAAATGGATTATTGGGAGAGATATCGCATGATAACTGCGGCGAGTCATGATGAATATGAGTGAATTTTTCTCCATCGTACAATACAGCTGATGGACAACAGAGGTCAGAGACATTTTCTGAAGGAAAGTGATCAGTGGACGATGAAGCGAGCAATTGTGGAGCAGACGGTTAGTGTAATAGACCGAAAATCATCATGATAACTGAAAATGCTGTTAGACCAGATACAACAAAGCTTGAAATATACTTTAGATCCTCGTTTTTGCAAAGTTAGCATCACCGGTATCATTACGAATGCTTGAATTATTGTATTTGGTTGACCAACAAGTGATTTCAAATGATACCTTCAAACCAGTGACGTTAATAACCATTTTTCATTGCGTTTGAACGAGGTCACTGAGCAAGCCCACAAAATGCTCGTGTATTGCGGAACGAGAGTAGTAGGTGTGTCAGGTGAGCCGCTCATATTGAGGTGAAAGCATGCTGTGGAGGTTCATACATATACTACATACAGGATATTTATTGTAGCAGCGTAAGGTCGGGTGTCCTAACTATGCTTCAAAATCATCTTTAAGAAGCAAGCTGATAAATATCATGGGCGAGCTATTCAGCTGTGAGTCAGTTGAGTTTTTTGTGAAAAAAGCGTTTGGGAGTGAATGTAGTTCACCCAATTTCGCTTCAAGTAAGACACAAGGTTGAGGTAAACCGGGGTATATATATATATGATGAGCTCCAAGTAGGGAAAAACCTGTCAGTTCGTCAGTGTTTGCTTCATTATTCGAATGCGCTGCTCTCAGTAGAAAATCGAAATATAAGCCCTTCGAGTGATCTGGGCTCCAGACACGACTTAAGGCAGTTATACCATTCAGGAAGATAGTAACTTTTTTACTAGCATTTCTCCACCATCATATTCTCATTACGCTATAGTACAATATTCTTTTGACCATCATTCGATTCAATTCGAATCGTCTGTCTAGGCTAGAGTATGAGACACCAGGTCCGATCTGCGTACCACAATTTCCGATCCTTTAGAACCGTCCAGCTTCCGAATGTTTCACGTAACGCTTTGGTCAGACTTGCATGGATCACTGCAGTAACGTCAACAGTTCTCTTAGGACGAGTGCAAACGCGGTTGATAGAAATATCATGCAATGAGAATCAACCAATGAAAATGTATCAACCAAGGTCCTGAAATAAGCTGTATTTCTCCAGCTGATATCTTCCTCCTTAGTACAGGACGGCTTATAATTACTGTTCTCACGCCCAACGATGTAAAATGTCTG